GGGCGGGCCCAGAGGGAGGCCAAGGGAGTGTGTAGAATTTTTTTGCGGATGTCATCTTCAAGCCTGCTTGACTGTAAGGCATGTGACACTATAACGTGTTGATATTTGTGAAAGAGACCATTAGTGAGATGTGTGTTTGTAAGAGAGAAAGAGCATACAATGCCGTGAAAAAGTATTTGAGTTTGAGGATGCGGGGGGGGGCGGGCCCAGAGGGAGGCCAAGGGAGTGTGTAGAATTTTTTTGCGGATGTCATCTTCAAGCCTGCTTGACTGTAAGGCATGTGACACTATAACGTGTTGATATTTGTGAAAGAGACCATTAGTGAGATGTGTGTTTGTAAGAGAGAAAGAGCATACAATGCCGTGAAAAAGTATTTGAGTTTGAGGATGCAAATTAACTGTCAAAGATTCTTCTTCAGGATTTTCTGGTAGACAGCTGAATTAATTGTTTCATCAATCACATCAAGCTGTCCAGGTCCTGAGTTAGCAAAGCAGCCACAGGCCATCACACTGCTACCACAATGCATCAGTGTTGGCATGATGTTCTTTTTATCAAATGCTGTGCCAGGTTTACCCCAGACATAACGGGCCGCATATCTTCCAAAAAGTTCAGGTTTTGACTCATCAGTCCACAGAATGTTTTTCCAAAAGTCTTGAGGATCACCAAGATGTCGTGTGAAAAATGGGAGAGGAGCCTTTGTGTTCTTTTTGGGGCAGCAGTAGTTTTTGCCTGGGAACTCTCCCATGGATGCCAATTGTGGCCAGTGTCGTGAACAATGACCTGAACTGAGGCCAGCAATGTCAAGAGTTCTTTGGGTGTTGTTCTAGGTTCTTTTGCAACCTCTTGGATAAGTCGTCGTCACACTATTGGAGTAATTTTAGCTGGTCAGCCACTCCTGGGAATGTTTGCCACTATTCCCAGTTTTATCCATTTGTGGGTCATGTCTATGGTTTGCTGAAGCCTTGGAGTCTTGGAAATTGCTTTTCTAACCTTTTCCAGACGGATAGATTTCAATAACTTTTTTTCTAATTTCTTCTTGAATTTCTTCGTAACTTGGCATGATGCGTTTGTTTCTTGAGATTTTGTAGCCAACTCCACTTTGTGAGACAAATACTATTTATGTGATTTCTTGATTCATCAAATGTGGTGCGAATGGATTTTTTTTTGTGCCTCAATAAATTACATTAGCAATTAGAAACTGCATTTTGTATTTACTTGGGTTGTCTCGGTGTGGTATTAAAATTGGTTTGACGAACTGAAACCTTTTATAAATATGCAAAGTACACAGAAATCAAGAAGAGGTCAAATACTATTTCACAGCACTACATGTGAGAGCTTGCATGTGTTGCACGAGCATGTAAGGTGTCTGTGAAAGCGCGTCATCCTGTGCTACCATGGTAACACAGGTTGTATTCGGGGCGGGGATCTTCAGCCACAAATTCACTCAAGCCACATTTGTTCTGTGTTCCAAAATGAATGACATTATACACTGTGCGTGTGTAACAGTCAGACGGTCCCTGGCGCGCCCCGAGAGAAGGTCAGAGTTCATCTAAAGGAGAAATATGACACGCTCAGCCTTCAAGCAAAGGTCAGTCACACAGCCGCACACACGCTTTTAACCTTTCCGTTCACCTTAAGCAGTGGAGAGCAGAAATAGAAAAGTAATCTTGAGAACTGCCCGGCGAGGTGACCGAGTGGTAAGCACGTCTGCCTCGACTGTTACGAGGCCAGGGGTTCGAATCCGGGCTCGGACCCTTTCTGCATGGACTCTTGCCTGTCTAGGCTTGATGTGCGCTGCGATTAGCTGGCGATTAGTCCAAGAGTGTAGCGATGCAGTCGAAAATGGACGACGTTCAAGACTATGTGGGCAACTACATGACTTTCGTGTAACACTTACACTCATACTTGTCCACGCGTTGAGTGGCTTCATCATGTGTTCAATGTCACATGACCACTTTATAAGTTTATTTGTGTGTGTGTGCCTGTCTCCTTGTTGTCTGATTGTGTATATCTATGCGTGTGAAATGTACAAATTTGAGTGTTTATGTATCTGTTTTTCCGTGTGTGTGTGTGTGTGTGTGTGTGTGTGTGTGTGTGTGTGTGTGCGTATACACACACACACACACACACACACACACACACACACACACACACTATATATCACATCACTGTCTTGATGTCTGTGTGTGTTCCCTTGTTCGGTTCTCAGTGTGGATCTGCTTGTGTGTTTGTCTGTTTCTGTGTCCATCTGTGAGTTTCAGTACACCTCGGTGTTTGTGTATCTTTGTTTTTGTGCGTCCGTTGGCACGTGTCTCTGTTCGTGTGTGTTTCCATACGTGCGTCTCCGTGTTTGTCTTCCCCATGTTTGCATGTGCGTATCTCTGGTTTGTGTGCCTGTCTCTGTGTTTATGTTAGTCACATGATGCAATAAGATGGCATTGACAAAGTCCAACCAACTGTCCCAAAGTTTTTAATAGACCATCATCATATAGAGCATCTGCCACCGTGGTTAGTCTTGCTGTTGTTGTTGGGGCGATAAGTGACAGAAAGTTGTAATCCATGACCTAAATCCCCATTTTTTTCCATTCTTCTTATAAAAAGAATATAATTATAACACCTATGGTTGCGTTTGTGCGCGCGTCCGTCTCGGTCGGCGTGTGTTAGCGTTCGAGCACGTAGGTCTTGTACAGGCGGTTCATCTGCTCCAGGAAGATGAAGGTGAGCACAGTGTGCGGTCCGAGGCGAGCGTAGTACGGCGTGAAGCCTTTCCACAGCGAAAAGAAGCCCTCCTTGCCCACCACGCGCACCAGCACCTCCTACAGGTCAGAGCACAGATGACACCAGCATGCTTGCGCATTCATTCCCCCCCGGCCCCCACCGTTTGGGAAAACTGTTTTTGTGTTTCGTTGTTGTCATCCCATGCAGACTCACCAGGCCGTTCTTGTACTCCCACAGAATGTTTTTCCAAAAGTCTTGAGGATCACCAAGATGTCGTTTGGAAAATGTGAGACGAGCCTTTGTGTTCTTTTTGGGGCAGCAGTAGTTTTTGCCTGGGAACTCTCCCATGGATGCCAATTGTGGCCAGTGTCGTGAACAATGACCTGAACTGAGGCCAGCAATGTCACAGGTTTGCCGTCAATCATCCTCATGTTCTGAATTCTGCAAAAAGACAATCAGGGGAGGCGGTGAGAGGCGCGCGCCTCGGTTTGGCGAACGCTTGGGTCTCACCTGGTCTTGACGATATCGACGGGCATGGACGCCGCCGTGGTGACCAGGCCGCTGATCATACTGGCGCAGAAATGACACAGGATGTCGTCACCGAAGTAGCCTAAAGGACATGAGACGCACGTGAGTGATCACAAACTGGATGAACGGGGGTGTGTGTTTGTGCACGTGTGTATTTACCAGAGTCTAGCAGTGCCTGTTTGGACTGTGAGTAAGATGCTAGTTGGGCAGCGTTGACCACCACTGCCCGCGCCATTGTGGGAATGCACCCCTTTAAAAAAACAAAACAAAACACAATTATCAATGAGCCAGAGGAGACAAACAAATGTGGGCGTAGGAGGCAGGGAGGTGGGCAGGCGCTCACCCTCCACAACGTGGTGACACCCTCCTCACGCATGATCCGAGCCAGAGCGTTAAACACGTTGGTGTACCCTCGTCGCTGGTCAACAGGAAGTCTGCACATACGATGTCATGTGAGAACATGCCACAACTGCGCAATCACTCTCCAACCGCTGTGTAGTGATGAGCATTAACAATGATGTAGTAGTGCCATACAAATGACTCACTAGTTACATTCGATGCATTAGTGACATGATATAGTAGTGATTTAAGTAAGATGTAGGAGGAAAGTAAAAAATTAGGTCATGTTTGATCATGTAGTAACGTTTCAATAATACATCAGTGCCGGAAAAACAATTGCGTAGTGCTGTATGATGAAAACAATGAATATTCTATTATAATTTGATGACAGCAGGCAAAAAATAGATAATACGCAAATCCACCAATGCCAAACTGCAAATGTGCTGTAGTTGTAAATTGTAATATCACCGATCGCCACTAGATGGCGGATATGTCTTAGCTATGCCTACAGTGGGCCTTTTACTGCCTTGTGCTACAACGTGAGTAGTCATAATAATTTCTTGCGGGTTTGGAATGATATGCAGGACAAACATAGTATCTCAGTAATGTTCCAATTTTGAGTGAGTTGATTTTTGTAGGGGAGAAAAAAAAAAGTTTTGCGCTTCATGTTGGTTTCTTGTTCAGCAGTTTTGTGCTGTCCTTGAACAGCAGTTTTTATGCAAGAGCCCTTTACCCTGAAAAAAAGGAGTGATTTTGTTGCTCACTAAACATATTTTGCATGCATTTTGTGCATATTTAAAATCACATTTTTGTCATACATTTTGCTAACAAGTGCCCGGTTCTACGTGGACCCCCGAGTAGCACTGATGAAAAATTGTTGCACCCTCCAGCCTTTGTGTTGCCCATCCCTGATCAAGTAGCACCACATCAATGATGTAGTGTTAATACAAAATGTTGTAAAAGTGACATATGGTGTAACAGTGACAAGAGTGATGTCATAGTAATGGAAACAAGATGTAGTAGTGGCAGTGGTCTGATGTAGTGACCCTCACCGCCCATCCGCCGTCATCCGGATGAGTGCCACCTCAGCTGGTGTGCCCACGAATGCCCCCGTGGCGCCGGCCGTCATCCCGATCAGCGCCTGTAGGAGGAGTACAGGACAATATCAGAGTGGAGATCCCATTGGTGGTGGGGGAAGGGGGGGCTCGCGCCAGGCACCTTGAGGAAGAAGTTTGGCGGGCGACCGTCGGCTGAGGTCATCTTCTCGAACAAAATGGTATAGATGCCAAGACGGGTGGTGGTGTAGGTGGCCTGGCGCAGCAGACCTGCAGACAGTCTAAGATGCACACACACACACACACACACACACACACACACACACACACACACAGTGGACATTAACCACTTGCCAGGAGGGTGAAAGGTCACAGCGACTTACCCGGTGTAGATGCCACCGATGCCCTCGTTCTTCAAGATGGAGGCAATCGCGTGGAAGCTGGTTTTGTATTCTCGAGCCTTGGTACCCTGACCGCTTAGCTGCATGCGGTTCTTCACTAGGTCCAGGGGCTGAACGAACACGGTGGCGCCCATCCTGTATGCCCCCCCGACCACAATCACACACACACACACACACACACACACACACACACACACATGCACGCACGCACGGTTAATATGGTTTGAGGTGTTCATAAAAGTTTGCTTTATTCTAGCAGCTATCTAATTTAAAACCGGCTTTATCATTCACCAACAAGGCTGGAATTGTTTTGATTATTTCAACTCTACCATGAGTTCATACTGATAATGTAAATAATGTGCAGGATGCTTATTATTGGCCACACAGATGGAGGAAAAAAAAACCTGACAGTCATACATGAGGAGTTCAAAGGTGGTAGATACTCTCGGACCTGAAAGCAGCTAGCTGGCTAACGAACTAGCTGTTAGCACGCTAGTCTGGGCAGCGAGCGGTGGCGCTTACCCAGCCAAGCCTCCGAAGAGGAACTTGACGGCCTTCGGAGACGTCTTGCTCTTCGGAGACGTCATGGTTGGCCGGCTCCGATTCCGATTCCCGGCTCACTTCCTGTCTTCGTGCCTGCCTGTGGGCCGGACAGTCCACCTGCAGCAGCCAGGGCCAAGGTGACACTGTGAATCGGCACGGTGGGTCACATGAGGCCACGGGCCAATCAGCAGGCGTGGTCGAATGTTTCCGAACACATGTTAGGGCAGCCGACCAATCAGCAGCCGGGTCCGAATATCTCCGAACATGCTGTTACACTTGTCAAAGCTCGGAAATGTGGGAATCAGTGACTGACAACAACGGGAAAAAGACATGTGAACGTTTAGACTCGCCCTGTGATTCTGACTGTGAGAAAACAAAAACATGTAATTCAAATGTTATGTTTTAAGCTGTTTTCGATGTTTTGGAATATTTTTTAGTGCGACGTAGACATTAGTCGTTTGGATTTCTCTCATTGGTTGTACCAAAAGAGGCGCGGCTCGGTAATATTTGAGGTACTGTCGTGCAACGAGCCTAACCCTGAGTCGTCAGTGAGGAAACCGGTTGGGGATGCCAAACTGGAGAAGCTATTATGTTATTTTCAAATCAATTAAAAGCGATCGTTGGTAATTTTTTTTTCCGTGAGCACACAGTTAACTTTGTGTGATCAGTGCCAAAATACAAAATGCCATTCAATGGTACCATGTTGCGGATTGTTGGAGTAACGCCATCCAAATGAACAAAAATGAACAAACGTCATCATTGAAAGTGACGTGTTTATGTCGGATTCTGAGGTTTTACATATGCTCATTCAAAAAAACACAAAAACAAAGTTATGTTTTTATTTGTCAAATGGGAAGTGCTGGTCATTGACACCCGGGCCACTTTTGGCTCCACCCAATCATTTAAATATGGATGCCTCTCAGTTTTTTCCCTCCTTTTTGGGCTTCCGGGGCTTGTTGCCTAGCAACGTGTCCATCTCTGCGATAAGGGCCGTAGTCAGCTGTGACAGGACCTGGAAGACATGAGGAAGGGCTATGTATTTAGTGCTGTGTGATTGTTTGGTGCACAGTGATTCAGATGGCCTCTGTTTGCTTGGTTGTTTTTGGCTTGGTTACCTGGATGGAACTGAGGTTCTCCATGAGCTGCTCCGTGTTGGATACACCCAGTAGAACAGAACTGACTCCTTCACTGCGCAGACACCAGGCTGACACACACCAAGTCACGTCTTTAATACTTCCTACTTGTGTGCCTGTGTGTGTACGTGTGTATACCGATGGCAAGCTGAGCGGGGGTGCATCCGATCCTGTCTGCCAACAGATGGAGCTCTTTGACTTTACTCAGCTGCTGCTTGCCCTCGTCGCTGCAGAGACGCTCCTTCAGCCACCCGTGACCCTGCGCATGCATATGCTCGATTGGTCACCATGGCAACCGATGCGTGTTCGAGATAATGATAGATGATTTCACCTTCATGGCAGCTCTGGAGCTTTGAGGGAGGCCGCTGTTATATTTTCCTGTGAGCATTCCGCAGGCTAAAGGTGACCACGTCATGGCCCCAACACCTGAAATACGTCACATTAACGGAGTGTGTGCACGCGTCTCTGGGTGTGTGTATGTGTGTGTGGGGGGGTACCAATCTTGTGGTAGAGTTCTGGCAAGTGTAGTTCCACTTTGTCCCGCTGGAAGTAGTTATACTCGGCCTGCTCACACACCGGAGGAACCAGATTAAATTGTCGAGCAATGGAGTATGCTTCCTGTCAGACCACACAAACACAAACACAAATACAAACACACACACACACACACACACACACACACACACACACACACACACACACCAGACATGGTTGTAGCACACTATTGTTTCAAGCTCCAGGCACAGATGGAGTTTACCATGATCTCCATCGCATTCCAGCGTGAGGTGCCCCAGTACATGGCCATGCCCTGGTTGATGACAAATGTCATTGCTCGCACCACCTCTGCATACACATGTACACACAGAGACACACGCTGTCTGTTAGCATTCTAATTTTTGCATCGTAGCTTTAGGGTCCGAGTGCGTTCACGAACCCTCCATGGGCGAGTTGACGTCACTCCTGTTGGCAAAGATGATGTCAACATAGTCCAGCTTCAACCTGGCCAGAGAACCACGGAGCCCTTACACACACACACACACACACACACACACACACACACACACACACACACACACACACACACACACACACACACACACTTTTTCAGCTTCTGCTGTGTCACTTTGAGTTCTTCCAAACTTTTGCATGTTCGTGTCCATGTGTGTGTGTCAGTGTATGTGTGTTTACCTTCAATTATGTGTTTCCGCGACAACCCTCGCTCTGTCTCGGCCCTGCAAAACACCATGCAATGTCAACATCTAAGAATGCCTTGTGATTGAGTGGCTGTCAATCATACTCACGGTCCTCCCCAATAGATTTTTGTGGTCACCACATAGCTGGACCGCCTGGTCAACAACAAAAACAACAATCACAACGACAATTGGCGGGATGGCCGAGTTACTCCATCGTCTTCGTGGTCACTTTACCTCCAGCCTTTCTTCTCTAAGATGTTTCCCAAAGTTGTCTCAGCTCTGAAACACATACATGATGGCATAATCCCATCTCGTATGCATGCACACACACACACACACACACACACACACACACACACACACACACACACACACACACACGCACACGCACACGCATACACACACTTTGGTGTGTAGGATACCTGCCAGAGGCGTAGACTTCAGCCGTGTCAAACACGTTGATGCCGTTGTCATACGCCAACGTCATCACACTATCTGCTATCTGCGGGTATACACACACACACACACACACACACACACACACACACACACACACACACACACACACACACACACACACACAGTCAAGGACACGTTTGTGAAGTGATTACAAAAAACACACACATACACACCTCATCTGAGATCTGAGAGCCAAACGTCACCCATGTTCCTGTGAAAAGAAAATAAGCAGAGAAGTGTGTGCGTGGGTGTGTGCGTGTGTGTGTGTGTGTGTGTGTGTGTGTGTGTGTGTGTGTGTGTGTGTGTGTGTGTGTGCGCATGCATGTGTGTGTGCGTGTGTGTGAGTGAGATGTTTACCTAGTCCCAAACAGGACACTCTGAGTCCAGTTTTTCCGAGATTTCTGAAAAAGACCAAACAACATCAGCACTGCATTTTTAAGAGATATAAAGCAGATTTTAAAAAGGAATTAAAAAGCAAAACTTGATTTGAATAACGGTTATTTGCTTTTTCTGTCAGCTAGGGGGGAACATTTTATTCAAGTCAATTGTGGCTATGGGATGTCATGACAGCCAACAGACACGACCCCTAAAAGGAGGTGCTGTGGGCATGTCTGCGTGGCTCACTCACCTGTAGGCCATGCCGCAATCCTCCATGGTCACGTCACATTCCCTCATGTAGATTTCTAGCCGTCGCCTTTCCATAACCCGCTTGGCTGCCTCCAAGATGTGAGACGCCAAGACCGCTTCTTCATTCTCTTTTACGTCCTTCTTGCTGTCCGCTTTGTCTGCTTTCCCGCAATGCCCTTTGGTAAACTTTGGCTTTTTGGTAAAACCGTACAGCTCTTCCACAGAAAACTTGGCACCTTTTCCCACCGTCGCTGGCGCCCGGCTCGCGAACATGACTGAAAAAGGAGCGCCAACTTTATCACTGACACTGGCGACCAACATTAGCTCTCACGTTAGTTTCTGAATTTAGATTCGGAAGGTAATTTCCAAACGTTCAATTAAGTTAGCCTCAATTTTAGCTTTCTAAGTATTGGACTCCAAAGTTATCCTTTCACTTTTACTGTTTGCTTCAAATGTTAGCTTCCAAAGTAAGCATCCAACGTTAGATTACGAAGTTACCTTTTAACTTTACCTCTAACGTTAACTATCAGGGTTAGCCTCCAGTTAGCCAGTTAACATGAGTCTCCAGTGTTAGTTTTTGAAGTTGGCTTCAACCTTAGCTCATACCTGACTTCTACTGGAATCTTCTGTCACGGTGCTGTTTGAGGTCAAGCCAGTGGCCAATGCAAGCAACCATTGAACGACACTATATCAATAAATATTGTTTAAAAAAAATGTCTTTTTGCAATTATGTGAGCTGACAATGCTGTAACTAACAATACTAACATTAATGAGGAAGTAGTATGATTGACTACCTGGTCTCCTGTCCCCTGTCCGTCCGTCTACCTTTATCCGCTCATGGGATGCTTTTTAAACCCATCCCTTGCACTAATCTGACCTATCACGACTCATGTATCCTGATTAAAAGTAAAAAATGCCAAAATACTGGGGCCTGTGCACAGATGTCACATATGGACACTTGCCCACTTTTTGATTTGATCGCCCCCTAATCCCCCCCCCCCCCCTCCATCATATGTGGTTACAGATGTGATGTCTGACCCCCACATGAGGCTGGACTTGAGCTCACAATCCATGATGACCTTGAATGGAAGACAGAGGATTTGTTTTCTCCTGATTGTAGAGTCTTATAGGTGCATTAATGGTGACAATCTCTATTATCCACTCTTGATGTATTAGCTAACCCATGGGTTAGTTATGCTCAGGGCATTAATCTGTTTTCTATACCGTTTGTCCTCATTAGGGTAAATTTCCACCTCAACTGATAAACACCCTAGTGCAGATTAGTGCAGATAAAACAGCCTCTATTATCCTAACTCTTGACATGGGTGAATCCATAGGTCAGTGTCACTTAGGCCATCCACCCATTCATCCATCCATCAATCCACCCATCTATTTTCTATTGCTTGTCCTCATTAAGGTCACGGTGATCTGGAGTCAGTCCCAGTTGACGATGTGTACACTCGGGACTGGTCACCACCAGTCAGGAGCAGGTCACAAACACAGAGGCAACCGTTCATACTCATATTCACACCCATGGCGAATTTAGAGACTTTAATTCACTTGAATGAAAACGAGGTATTCGCACCCAGAGTGCAGAGTGCCCCACCCACTATCAGTCTATATTTCAGCTTCGCAAACGGGGGGGGGACACGTCAATGGCGTCACCAGCCAGTCGTTACACACTTAAGTCTCGGGCAACGGCGCTTTGGTCAACACAATCATCTGCCGCCACCTACTGGACCTTAGTAGAGTAACAGCTCCGACGTATCAACGAAATTGTTTATTTGATGACATCTCTCAACGCATGTCTAAAAGAAAAATCTCTCCACATTGCTGGCCAAAAACCCGATAATGATTTCTTGACGGACATTTCGTCTTTGGAAGTTTAATACCGCTCCAAAGGTAGCATCAACCCCGGGAGAGCTGCCCGTCGATGCCGCCAACGTCCACTCCTCGTGAGAAATAAGTTCTGTGTCGTAGTTTCAAAAAATGTGTACATAATGATGCATTCGATGAATAAAATAAGCATGATGTGCTTTTACTCCAATTTTTTTTCAAAGTGCAAATGATTACACGGCGCGCATATTGTAATCAGGCGCATGAGCAGGCGCCTCTGCATTGGGGGTCCTACGGGAAATGGGAAAACAAGGTAAATACGGATTTCATTTCATAAACGTTATCTCTATTTTTGTCTTACAAGACTTGATTTCCCTCGTCCATTTAAAGCAATTAAATTGTAACAATACTATGACGCCAAGTTCGGTGTTTGTGAGGGATTTGAGGGTTTGAATATCTTGAATTCACATGTACACCGGGGAAGTCGGCAGTTGACAGCACCGTGAAGTGTTTGCACGTCTACTTCACAGTTGGGTGGTTGGTTCGAATCTCTCTTGCATGTACCCACGCCTGCTTGGGGATTCACCCCCTACATACCAAAAACACGTCTCTTGCTCGGTTTAGATACAATCCTAAAAAATAAAAGTAACACAGAAAGTGGATTAAAAAAAAACATTTGTCAAAATTATGTCCTAATTCCGTTCATTCGTGGTGTGTGCTTCAGATGACTGTGCATAACCTGTACATATTCGACCGAAATGGAAAGTGCCTGTATTACAACGAGTGGAACCGAAAGAAGCAAGCTGGTATCTCAAAGGAGGAGGTACAGTTGATCCTTTTGTTTTTGCATTGCAGTGGTCACAAAACTAGGAAAGATGTTGCAGTCGTTGTAAACTTTCAAACAACTGATATTTGAGCACAAACCGTGCAGAAATACATGCAAACAGAGTTTATTCAATAATCGCAGGCATATATCTGTTATGTGCTGTGAAAAATAAATAGAGCTGCTTAATAATTTTAATGTATAATCGCCCCCTGGTGAAATAGGCATGCACACTAGAAGGAGAAGCACAAAGTCCTGTGAAATGAACTACAAAAGCACGATGTAAAATTATTTACATTCTATTTACTTATGTTATTACTCTGTTTCTTACAGTACTTAAAATGTTCCAAATTTTGGGGGTAGAATTGATTTCCATTTATTTAAATGGGTAAAGTTGATTTGAAAACAAGTGACTTGAGTTTAACCATAATAGATTGAATGAAATCCTGATTTGAAGGGAGATGAAAAAAATCTAAGTGACCCTTTTGCCTGCAGGAGTACAAGCTGATGTACGGCATGCTGTTCTCCATCCGCTCCTTCGTTAGTAAAATGTCTCCTTTGGACTCGTATCCTTTGGGCTACATGGTCAGTCTTTCAGTCCTTTTGTTTGCATTGCCTTTGTGTTCCTTAGCCATTTTCAGGAAGGAGGGCTTCCAGTCCTTCCAGACCAGCCGCTATCGTCTTCACTACTTCGAGACCCCCAGTGGACTCAAATTTGTCATGAACACAGATCTTTCCGTGAGCAACGCCCGGGATGCGCTGCAGCACATCTACAGCAATGTCAGTGAGGTGCTATGCAAATCCACACCATCATTCCCACGCGAATGACGTATACGCGCACATGTGTGTATTTCAGCTGTATGTGGAGAACATCGTCAAGAACCCGACGTGCATTCTGGGTAACTCGTTGGACAGTGATCTCTTCAGCACACGACTGGACACCTTCATCAGAGCTCTGCCATATTACAACCCACGCACCACTTGACACGTTTTTTTTTCTTCTCATTTTGATGGTTTTGAAGGAGCTGGTTATTTCAGTTAAACATAAAAGTGGTGCAATACTCACATGAGCTTGGGGTGTTTTATTTAAAAAAGCAAAAATACCAAAGTTTGAGACTTCTCCTGCTTCATCCATTCTTACATCCTGTATAATTTTTCACAGATCACGCTGTCATCCATTTAAATGTTTCAATTTTGTTGTGAACAACGACAATAAAGGTATCCTATTTTATTCATACATCCTTGTTCCCTTCATATCGTCCTTCCTCAGTTCCTTATTTCCTTCCCCCATTTCATCCTTTCATTTATACCATCCTTGTTTACTTCATGTCATACGTGCTTCTTTCCTGCTACCTTCTATCCTTCTTGACTGGCACCCTTACCTCCTCCCTTCCTTCCTTCCTTCCTTCCTTTCTTCCTTCCTTCCTTCCTTCCTTCCTTCCTTCCTTCCTTCCTTCCTTCCTTCCTTCCTTCTTTCCATACCACGCTTTTTCCGTCCACCTTTCCCTCTTACCATACTTTCACACCTGCTTGTTTCGGTCATACTTTATTCACTTCTTTAATTAAGTTGCTTTACAAAGTGCACAGCTGCTTTTTGGCCCACCCCGTATATCGATCTGTAGATTTTTTTTAGTCAGGCGCCGCTTGGGACATCTCTTCTCTCTGATTGGTGCATTTGCGGGAGGCAAACAGACACCCTGGTTTCTGATTGGTTATTCGTGTCGTCAATCACTCATGCTGGCGTGTCCCCTGCTCTGACTGGTGTAAATGAAAACAGGCCGTCTCGCGACGACGTGAGACGATGCCAAACAGTTCGCGCGGGTTAACGCTAGCTATCGCGTCTCGTCGAGGTACGTTTGACACGCACATGCACTCCAAACCCGCGTTATACAATGTTTGTTCTCACAGGACTTCGCGGAGGAGTCGAGTTAGCACTGTGTTAGCCACTTCCTCCAAACTGCTAATGAGAAGCTAACTGTCCGCTGGTCTTGGTCCGCGATTGGCGCACATAGCTTCCGGTGGGTGGGGGTAAAAAAAAGGGCACTTCACTTTTCTATTTTTGCCCGTCACACACTTGGAGTGATCGCGAGGGTCTTTGGGAAACAACACGCTGGAGAAGAAAAATCTTTTGACCAAGTAAGCACCCCCACGCACACACATACAATCAAATAGAAGTTTTTACTTGCAACCAGCAGACGTTTTGACAGCATGCAGCACAGAGAAAGCTAAGGTGTAAAAAGGGGGTGTGGAGTCAGTGGTGACATGCACAGAATTCCCAAGGCATCACAAATATTTAGTACAGTGGTTGTCAAATGTTGTTCCCCACGGAAGGGCATTTGAAAACAATTTCCTTAAAACAAAAAAACAAACCCTTTGTAACCCAACACTATTCACTAAAAATTGGGAATAGGGTTCACAAGTGAAACTTCTGAATGAATGTAAAATGCACTGTAACCTTTACAGGGGCACTTAATTGAGCTAAAGTTTTGAATGCACATGTCATATTGTTCAACATTTCACTACTTTGTTCTGTAGCAAGGAGCTAACGCAGCAAGAAGATGATGTCACTAGACAAGTCCGAAAAGATCTCCGTTGGCCGTCAGCCCCGACCCTCAACAAACGGCAGTGGTCAGAGCACTGTGACGGCATCTGCTCAGCACATCCCAAGGAAGCGTTACTCCGTAGGTCTCGCTTTCAAGGGGCCGGCCAAGCGACGTCGTCGTGTCCGTAGTGAAAGTCAAGTGGAATCCCTGCTGCCCACTCACTTCCTGTTGGGCGGAAACATCTTCGACCCTCTCAACCTGAATTCGTTGTTGGACGAAGACATCAACAGGTGAGGAAGAGGAGGTGGCAAAAGGCCATGCCCTTTAAAGGCACATAAACAAAAACTAAATGAAAGTAGTTTATCTCTTTACATGTTTTTTTTTCTTCACTACAGTAATCAATTATTTATACTTGGTTACTTCCCATCACTGACTTTATGCATTCTGCACTTTACCTGTAACATCCATGTGTCTCTCAGCTGCCGCCTTTTTTCCCATTTCTCATCATAAGGGCAACCAATGAGACGACTCCAAAGTGTTCACCCCTGCCATCCCGCAGCAGGGACCCTGTAGACATCCTGGTTCCCCGAGATATCACAGACCCTTTGAACCTGAAGGAAGAGGGAAGACCGGGCGGCGGGGCTCAAGGCGTCCTGCTGTCCCCCCTCAAATCCAGAAGGAGACACAGGAACCATCATGGCGGCGACAAGGAGGCAGTGAACCGTCCCATCTTCCCCTCCACAGATGGACTGACAGGTGAGGCACCCGCTGGCATGCATACAGTGCAGTTAACCTCAATGTTTCCGTGGTTTGGGGACCTTGACTGTTAATAACTTTCTATATGTGGAAAAAATACAGAAAAATGTTCTCTGTATGGTCTCTCCTGCCCATTCTCAATGTTGATGCTTTCCGCAACAAAACAAAATAAAACTGTACAGACTGTATGGTTTATTGTGACAGTTCCAGTATTGTCCAGAGATGGCAGTGTGGCAGTGTCACCTCTGCCTTGCGAACTCAACACGGCTATCACCTGTCGAGAGGACATCGCCCCGCCCCCGATCCTTCCAAGGAGGCACTCACACCCTCCTCCAGGCACTGCACGGAAATCTGGTGACCGGCGCCAGAGGGGTCGACGGCGCACTACTTCGGCGAGGTCAACGCGTGCCGTCGTGGACAGGATGGAGGCCACCCAGTTCCACACGCCGCTGGCCGGAGGGCGAGGGCCCGACAAGTGAGTGTTCTGGATGAAATACAAACACTTGAATGTCATTTGTTGAAGTCTTGTAAAGTGGTGGATAATTTAAGATCCATTTTTCTGCTTAATTTCTATGTGAAGACAAACTGGGGATATTTGGAACGGGATCATATTCAAGCATAAATACAAACAGTTTTGTCCAAAGGAGAATTAAATGAAGTTCGTAAAAGACTTTGACAGATTAATTTGCAAGTAGAACTTTATTGTGTTTTATCTATATTTTTGAGCAATTTATTCTTTCATTGATTGAGTTTAGCCTATACTCTATATTCAATTAGTTGTTTGAGTCAGTAATTGGATTATGCTAAAAGGCATTTTCCCCAACAATATTTACGTTTTCCCATTAAAACACAACCTGCAATTCCAAAAACCTCCGTGGAATGTTTCCAATTTTGAAAATTGTTGACGTTCAGCTACCCTAATTGACTGCTGGTGTACTTGACCGTTGCTCTGCAGGTGCACACGCAAGCCTCCGGAAAAGGACAAACGTCGCTACCAGTACGGGAACTGTTGCCGCTTCTATGGCTACCACGGGTTCTACGGCAACGGGTGGGAAGGGCGCGTGGGGCCGGCGGAGGACCCGCGGCTGCGCTTGCTGCAAGCCAATTGGTTCCAAGACAAGAAGGTGCTGGATGTGGGCTGTGGCGCCGGTCACCTGACTCTCACCGTGGCGCGCGCCTTCAACCCCACACACATCCTCGGGGTGGAACTGGATGGCCGACTGGTGCGCGCTGCCAGGCAGAACATCAGGCACTTCCTGTCACATGACCTCGTGGAGGAGGAGAGGAAGAGGAGGTGCTCCCTTATGTCCCGCTCCTCCCCAAGTAGAGAAGGCGTTGATAAGGAGGAGCAAAAGCAAGAAGAGCCGAAGGAGGACGAAGCTGTGCGTCTCATGGCCTTCCCCCTCTCACTGAGGGTGAGTCGCGGTCCTCTGGCCGCGCCCCCTCTCCTCCTGGCCGCTCCCCCGCCCTCGCGCAGGTTTCCCAACAACATCTCCTTCATTCAGGCGAGTGTCGCTCACGACTTCCTGTTTGTGGTCATCATGGCCTGAGATTTAACACCCTTTTGTGGTTCCTGCCACAGGGGGACTACGTGTCAGAGCAGGAGGCGTGGCCCGGGAGGGGTCAGTATGATGTCATCATGTGTCTCTGCATGACGAAGTGGGTGCAGCTGCAAGCCGGTGATGAGGGCGTGGCCAGACTTTTCCGACGAGCCTATCAGAGCCTGTCCCCGGGCGGATTGTTCATCCTGGAACCGCACCCGTGGCGACGCTACGGCCGCAGCAAAAAAGTCTCGGTAATACTCACGCACACTCGCTTATTGGGGTTCACTGTGTGATTTGATTGACGGCACCGGTGTTGTCTCCTAGGCAACTACATCCTATCACTACAGGAATTTACAAGTGAGACCAGAGAACTTCACTTCCTATTTGATGGACACTGTCGGCTTCTGCTCCTACAGACTCCTCACACACACTGGTACACACACACACACACACACACACACACACACACACACTGATCTGAATTTTGTTTCCAGGTGAGAAACAGCCTATCTACCTGTTCCACAAGAAGTGAGCCCCCAAACGGTGACGTGAGCTCGTGATTGGATGACGCACCACAGACAGGAAGTGATGCTCATTTGTTTGTATTGTTCTAAAACTGGACGTGTCCCCATCATGCATTTGGAGGGGATTTGGGATCGATACGCCGAAGTCCGTGTGGCGGTGTTCTCACTCGCATGTCATGAGTCCGCTTTTGGATTTTGAAAGTCGCGTGACCATCCGTCCGTTTTGTACAACGCTTGCCTTCTTTGTGGTCGCGGGTGAGTTGGAGCCCCGGCCCCGGCTGACTTTGGGTTCGAGAGGGCAGAAATGCGATCAGAGCTCACCTACGGCGTTCTCTTTGGAGTAATACAGCTGAACTTGAGGTGACAGGACTTTTGTGTTTTCAAGGTCGAATTGTAAATGTACGTCATCGGCATTTTACTCGTAGGTTTTACACAGTGGGTTTATAACAACAGCATTTTTTAATCCTTAAAAAGTGTGAGGGGAAAACCATCGTTTAGATTGGGCCCTGGCCAATATCTTTTTCTTTTTTTTTTTTGTCTGAACACTTTCAGTATGAAAGCATACAAAAAGAAACAAACACAAGCTGATGAATTTATCTTTAGCTTCAGGTTGTTGATGTATGAAGTGTCGAAGCAACATGAGTGACGTTACTGGCAAAAAAAAACCATGTAGCCCTACGACACCGTTTGACATTAAATACCATTTCCTCGACTCTTGTTATTTTTGTTTTGACCGTTTTGTCGGCTGTTATGACTGAAGCCATGTAAAGAAGTCAAGAATAACGGTTTATTCATTTTTTGTTTAGGTTACTGTCATGGCGGGTTTGGTAACAAGAAAATGCTTTCAATATCATTCTTATTTATTACAGATGAAAATTTTTAATTTTAATCCAGATTTTAGCAAGCATCATTGAAGTTGACATGTTTGATTTACTTTTGCGGGCCACATAAAATGAGGTGGCGGGCCGGATCTGGCCCCCGGGCTTTGAGTTTGACACCATGCCCTAGACTGTTACTCTTTGTTTCTTGTTTTTTTGTTTTTTTTTTGGTAAAGAAGACTGAGCAGAAAATCGACGCAGAAGACGAAGAAGGGCCTGCGTCTGCCAGCCACACCTCCAGTTAGTGTCCGAAGAACTTTGAGGATTTGAGAAAGTTGTCAAAAAAAAAAAGAAAGGTCCGACATAGACTTTCTTAATGTTTGTCAAGTCTACCCCTCAGTTTGTATGTTGCGTGGGGTCACCAAAAACTGCGAGAAAACATGTCTTCGCCGTTCTCCCTGCGCCGCCTGATCATTCAAATAAATCAAGACATTGGACTTGAATTTTACCAAATGATGTCAGCGATTGCTTCAAGTGTGATTGATTCCTGCCTTTGGGCTTAAGTGGAGTCCATCAAGCAAGCGGACTCCACTACCCAGCATGCAGTGCTCCTGGCAAATCCCTAAAGAGGATTTCTGTGGAATCACAGGACAACATGCCGCTGAAGCGAGACGGTGAGATGACCTTTTAGTCATTTTTCTCAAACGCTTCTTTGTATTGTGCGTGCGGTGCCTTGGCTTATGCCTTGCATCCGTTTCCAGACACTCAGCGAGCGCTGCAACTGATGGAGGCCTGCTCGGAGGGGGTCAAAGGGAGAGAAGCTGAGAAGCTGCTCAACATCTTCCAGAGTGACCTGTTTCAGGCGTTACTTGGTACTGCAATTTCACTTCTCGGGCACTGACACTAACGTTGAAATGTGTGTAGTGTATATCTGCATACAGTGGGTATAAAAACTTTACACTGCTCAAGTGACAGGTTTATGTGACAAAAAAAGACAAAACAAAACGGGATGTAGCTGTGTTCAGAATGAAAAAATGGGAGTCGGCACACACCCAGCAACAATTAAAATGTCTCTTATTAACCCCAAATAAAACCTCTAAAACAAAATCCTGGTCCACAAGCTGACTATCAAGGCAAAAAAAACCCCATCTTTACCTCTCTTGTTCTTCCGCTTTCTATGTGTGATGTGCGCACACTCACAGCTGCTAACGAGAACGTGGTGCTCTCAAGTGGTCAGGACAGCAGAAGGGGGAAAAAACATTTTTGGGGTATTTAATTAAGGCAGTCTCCCTAATTGATTACTACCGGTACGTAGTTCAACAATTATCTTCCAACATGTGTTTCTATGAAGTAGAAACAAATCTCAAAATTTACTGGACAGGGTTTTTAAGTACAGTGATGATCAAGTATACTTCCAAGCACTCAATATGTCACCATGTGTGCAGACATCCAGGAGTTCTATGAGCTGACGGTGTGTGAAAGCCACGCGGCCAGCCGTCCGCCGACACCTGTCCAGGTACGCTTGCCGTCCAACAGCCGACCACCTTTCCTTAGCAACAGCTGCATCACACCATGGCAACGAGAGCACAGCCCCCTCCTCTCCTCTCTCCTCTCTCTTTCTGTCGTCAAGGAGGTGACCCCCCCCCCTTCCCCCCCCAGCAGAAAATAACACAC